AGAGACATACTCTCGAAGTCTCTCGGTAAAGGACCAGGTGTAATATACGCCCAACCCCCGGACGAGGCCACAGGTAACTAACCTATCAACCAGCTTCAATTAGCATATTCGGCAAGATCAAAACCAAAAGACCGGATGAAAAAGAACGGGGGCTCTGGATAGAGGTTGGCCCAGATATCCCACCGGGATTCGTTGTATTGCTCAGCCCAGGGCACCCTTCTTTGTCCAAAGAGACCAATACCTTAATATCTGGCCTGCGGACAAGAGCGAGCAAGGCGACTGAGAGAGGTTTAGAGGGCGGGCATCGAATGACACTAGCCCAAATTGTCTTGACGGTCGCCGTCCTTCTCGAGTCTGATCTGCATCCATGGGGGGAACGGCGAGGGACGGAAGGGGTCCAGGGTACGCGCGTCCCGCTCGAGGTTTCTTTTGGCCGCCCCCCCCTCCCTTGTGTACAAACGGCGATGGACCGGGTCAGACCACGCAAGTAGCCCCGGGAGCCTGGGTAGCAGGGCCGAGAGAAATACAGAGCAGTTCGACGACAACGGCATCTGTAGACAGAGCTTTGTCTCGCCGTTTGTTCCTCTCGTCGAGTCACGGAGGGTGACTGAGCGATAAGTGATGTGGCTTGACTATCCCGAGGCTGGTTTATCCGGAAAGGATCTGAAGCGCGGCTAACGTGTAATTGCGAATGCAAAAGGGCACCCGGAAACTTGGGGGCGGGGCGCCTGCGGGCAGCGGTGAAGGGGAAACGAAAAGGCAACGAATATTCAGAGGCACGAAACCTTGGACGAATCAATGGTTCGTCATCTCGACATTTGGGATCATGGCCAACCCGGTTTCACAGGTCAAGGGAAGGGGCAAAATGGGGGCCAAGAGGACGATCGAATACGCAGCCCGGGGCGGAGTCCAATATGATTTGAATGTGCTGGAACTGAGAGTGCTGGAAGTAAACGACACGTCTTGTGAGAGCATGAGTCGCGATCTTGCACACTCGTGACAAGGCCGGGTTGATGGGCAGGATGCTAGGAAGAGGGATTCGTAGCCCTTCTCATTTTGAAGTTCGCGTAAATCGGAGTCCGGCTCTCTCAGTCGGGATGAGGACGATCCAATCAGGTCCCCGGTTCCATCGGGTTATGCCGACTCTCGACCAGGTACAACTCGATGCCTATGTCTTCACAGGGTCGGGAGGGCCATAAGAGACTTTCGATGTCGTTAGCACTCGTTCGTCCCATTATGGAATGAAATGCCTTCATCGTGCAACCTTCCCGCTGGCGGCACGTTACAACAGCCTATCCAACTGGGTGTTTCCACTGAGACGTTTCGTTTCCATGTCTTGAAGAGAGGTCGACCATCTGAGCAACTGAAAGCATTCCGCACACATTCAATTCCTCAAAACACCAACCAGCCCGAACGAAAATATGAAAGGTCCGAACCCTGCAGACGGGAGGTGGGAGAAGTGTAATTGGCTGGTCACGATGCAAGCCCCCTTGGCAACTCTGCCGAAAGCCGATGTGGACTGATGGAATGAGAGGTTTCCTGAGCCCCAGGAAGCTTTGGTACCTGTAGGTAAAGTGGCAGTCCAGTACTCCGTAGGGAATGAGGTGTTTCCGTGCCCACCCCTCGCTGGAAGCTCTGGTGTTTTGCTCTCTAATTTGTGAATAAGGCATTATGGAGAATTGCACAGTCGCTTGTCTACGACCTTGTGGGAAGTTGTGGCAGTTCGAGACGAAAGGAGTGCAGTCTGATGTGGGGTGGCAACGGGTTTGGGAACAACACGCAAGCCACCATTGGAGCGCCGATGTGAGACAAGGTGGATGACGCGTCACTGAGCCGCTAAGGCCCACGCCCCCAGGGTCAAGGGGGGGTCGCCGCATCGGGCACGCACCCAGAAGTTGTGTGCCAAAGAAAGCCATCGTGGATGTCGATCAGGTCCTCTGTTCCAGGCTCTGGGGAGTTTAACCTGGAGAACGGGTCCCCAAGAAGGACGACCGTGAGATTTGGAATCGTTGGGACGCAAACCGCAACAGATATCGATATCCTTGCTGCTGTTGGCGATAGTATCAATATGCCCAGCCGGGGAGGTCGCCAAGATTCGAGCATGGCCAGAATGGTAAGAATCGGGCTTGATGGCGCCGAGCGGGTACAATTTGCGGCGTACGGAGTCACGGACGCCATTTGGGCTTCTGCTCTAGCACGTCGCCCGTTGACTCGTCATCCATCTGCCTGAGGATGATTGTCTTCATCAAGATGCCGTCTGAGGAATACCAACATGCTTGGTTCGTCTCATCAAAGTCAATCAATTCGTCCAGCCTGTGCGAGTCGAGTTAAAGGGGCGAGACGTTGGCATGCCGCAGACGATAGCAGCAGTCTGTACCGCTGTAGGCCTGTGAACATTTGAGTTTGCGAGAACGATTGACGAGCCCACCTGTTTACGCAAGCACACGTAACAGACAGGAGGATTTGACGTGGGATCAGACCTGGATCGGGCGAGGATCTCTTAGGATTGGAGAGTCTATCAATCATGGTTCAGGGCGGCCGCTAGAAGATTTCGGGAAGACCTGGCCCGCCAAAGAAGCTCCAAGAGGTTGTCGCCTATGAAGTTTGTCCGAAAGACGGGCGTCGATAAGGTAATACGGCTTGCCGCCTACAGACGAGGCTACAGTCGTTCATCAGGTCAACCACCTTGCCTCCGCCATGCACAATTCGTACGAGTCGAGTCCGTGAGAACAGGAACCACATGCGGGGATCGGGGGAAACGTGGCCAGCTAAATTGGATAGGCGAAGTGCCCTTCGTAGAGACCGGGACCAGGAGGGGAAAACGAGGCTGAGTGGGAGGCGAATGGGGCAGAACCTTGAGGCCGGGGTGTTTCTGACAACTGGGAGGACCCAAATGCATCCGACTTCTCGAGCGCGTACCTGACTGAAATAGAGTGCAGATAGTCGTCAAGCCCCTGCGGCGCCTTTGCCGATGGGAGCCAAAGACCAATGGGAGCTTGGGTGGAAGAAAAGAGAGTACGAATTAAAGGTGTCGCACTCTGTTGAAGCTTTTTCTGGTTTTGCTGGAATTGAGTCGTCGTCGCCGTGGGTGGGGGGGCCTGGGGGGTTTCTGGATGACACTAGCCACAGGCGAGAATTTGAGGTCAAGGACGACGACGAAACGGGACCAGGTCGGTTCACCCACAAGGACAACCTAGCTGCCCAGGTTCTCGAGACAAAGTTTTAGGGGTCCAGAAGGCCGAGAGAGACGCGAAAGGAGCGAGGCGAGATGGTGTGCCGCAGCCGGCGACGAACCAGTCATCCAGTAAGAAATTGGCATTACGGTGCAAGTAGGCGATACTGGAGCAAACTCCCCTTATCACGGGATACTAAGTACTGGTTTGGCGTTTGGCGCCAGTCTGAAGTGACCGTTGGTTTGATGGTCGGAGCTGGTCTCACATGGCGAATCCTCGTGGACGGATGCAAATGTCGCGCTGCCTGTCGGGCAATTTAGCATGTCTTTGCAAAAAGACCGTGAGCGGGAGGGTCGTGGCGGCGTGGTTGATTTGATTAACCCCATCATAGAACTTTTTGGCCTCTGAGGTGCATATGGGAGATTGGTTAGTGCGCAATGAGGGTAATGATGTGCAGCGGCGAAGAAGATGAGGTGGACTGGCGAGTGATTGGCGACGAAGGATGCTGTTTCTGGACGTAGTTGCCGGGCGCGGGAGCGCAAAATGGAAAATTGGAGTGACAGTCGGCCACTGTCATCGCCATCCTTTCTCGACCGTGTTGTGCCGGTCCTTTGTGACATGATCGATCTCTCATGACATTATGGGTCCTCGATTGCTCGGGACTCGGATAGGTTGTATAGTTAGAGTCGTAGCATGTAAGTCCTGCTTCATCGACGCATCCCCGGCTCCTCCGCGTATGCTGGCGAGAAATCAATACCTAGTACGGATACTATGTACGGATGTAGATGCTGAAAGTGTCGACAACTGGCACGGATGGCAGCAAGTGCTCATCGTCGTCGTAATCATCCACGGCCGGCAGCCGCCTGGCGCCGGAGCTGCCGCCTTCCGTGGGCCTCTTCCCTCCCCAAGGTTCTGGTTCAGTTACAGACGGGAGAGAGCGTCGAGTCTTGCTGTCTCAGAGTGCCTAAAGAGGTGCCTGGGAGGGGGGAACAGAGCGGCGCCGTGCGTGTAGTAAGTGTCTATAGTGTACTGGGTAGACTATGGTTTGCTGCTGCTGCTGGTTGCTGCTGGCTGCCCACTACCACTGCCACAGGTGATTTGTGCTGCGGCGGGCAATCAACAAGAAAGCGGTGCTGAGAGTGAGGCTTTGGGGCTTTGGGGAGCCGGCTGAGCCACAGATCTGGGTCGAGGGGGACCAATCTGGGGTCTTGTTTCCGCCGACACTTGCGTAAAAGTCTTGGCGGGCAGCCCAGATTGGTCTGGGGCAGATGCTGGAAATAGACCTCAGCCACGCCTCGTCATCACAGTTTGGGGCTGCCAGAGACCCGTCAGAGTGAGAAAAGTGTGTGGGCGGGTGTGTGTGAGAGGTACTCCTTACTACGTAGACCTCACGCCTCTGTCGTCCCTCTCCAAGAGTGCCAGGGTGAACCGTAAGAGCGAGGAATTGGAGGAGTGGAGGGCACGGAGGGGAGGGATGCGGTGCCCACTCGACTAAGGTTGAGAGGTGGGATCTGGCGCTGGCCAGTGACAGAACCTTTAATTAGGTACAAGCGAGAGGTACCGGTACATCGGGTGCGACAGTGAGGCTTGTCCCCTTTGAATGTCCGTCCTCGTTGCCGTGTGGTGTGGTCTGCATTCTCGAGGTGAATGGACTAGCTGGGAGTACTGTATCCGAGTGTAAGTGATGGTATTCGCGGATGCGGATGGGAATTCGGTGAAAATCTGCTCCGTACTTATAACGTGCTTGTCGTATGTATTCGTACCCTACTAGTAATCTCCAATGTTTTGGTTTGCATTCATGGAGCTGCTGTGGACAGCAGACTGTGGATGTTCTCAGGTTGGTGTTTGTTTCTTTGCTTGTTTCCGCTTCATCATGTCCATCTGATGAACCTTTCTCGCCCACAACCCGTAGAACGGGTGCCAAGAAGAAGAAACAATATTGCCATCGTCGTCGCAGGTCGTCAGCCTCGCTCGGATTCGCAATTGAGTTACGAGCAGGTAAACTATCGTGAATCGTCACCAGCAAACCGTGAGTGTAATTTCAGCGTCTCCAGAGTTCAAGTCGGTATATTGCGTAGGTAGGATACGGAAGGGGGGCTTCTCCGCCCCCAGGGACCGTTCGGCCGTCGTCACCGGGGAGGATTGCGTCGCCGTTGCCTGGCTTTTTCTCGAAATTATTGCCCGCAGAGGGCACTCCGTCGAGGCTAGAGCAACGCAAGCCTTGGCACAAACGAGAGCAAAGGATGTGAAAGGACCGCAAAAGAGTCGCAGCTCGAAATTGTGCCCCTCTGAACAGCCCAAGAAGGGCTTGGCGCGAGAAAGGTATGTGGGAGGAGGACGGGAGGACGTTGGATAGGTAAGCTCGCGACGGCGACAGGGCAGTACGTAAGGTAGACCGGCTCTATTCAGGATTCGTCACTAGTAGCCGGACCAGGTGCTTGTCGAGGGTGAAGCCATAGGACACGGTGACTGGGAGTCTGGAGAGAAAGAGAGCCGTCTGACTGATGATTGAGTGTTGTCGTTGGCCAGTGGCGGGGGGGGGGGGACGGGAGTACGGGAGTACGTGAGCGAGAGAATCCGCCAAAATGGAGAAAAGAGCAAGGAGTAAGATGGCTGTGATTGGCTCACGAGACTCGTGATCCCTTAGGTAAGATGGATACGGTACTTCGGTACAAGGGTTGGAAAAGATACATCTCGCGAGGTACAGTACATCCACGAGGTGCAGACAGGAAGGAGAGAGGGAAGGCACACTGCCCTCTGTCTCTGGATTGCTCTTGCTCACTTGGGACAGAAAAGACGGAGTCGTGGTACGTGCCGGGGCGGATTGAGCGGGATCCACTCTGGAGCGATCTGGCCCCTGCCATTGGCCCGAGTTGCACAGCTTACGCGTAAACCGCCCATGAGGAGCCAGCCAGAGAGCGGCGTGCGTACGCTTTCTGCTGCTTTTCGCACTCCTCCCGCTCCCACCGTACACTCCCCCCTCTGTTCTGTGCCTCTCTCACAGTCTCGCTCTCTCTCTCTCTCTCTGCCTCACACACTCACATCTCTTCCTTTCTCGCTACCATTCTCTGCCTCTTTTTCTGTCACCTTTGCGTGTCCAAAAGTCTACTCTTCTGAATACACACCCCTCCCCCCTGGACCTGGACCTTGACCCCTTCCACTTCCCTTGCCTCTCTCTCACTCCTCACTCCTCTCTTCCACCCTACGCCTTACGCAGACGCAGCACACGCAACGCAACGCAACGCAACTTCTCTCCCACCTCTACCTACCTACGTACGCTTGCTCGCTACCTTACGGATACTGCTGGCGTACGTTACGTCCGCTCTTTTGCTCCCATCAATTCCCCTGGCGGCCCACTCCCCAATCGCACCCTCCTCTCCGCCCGCTACCAACCCTTTCAACACCCCCATCCCCCCCATCCCATCCCTTCCTTCTCGACACCGCACTTCACTCGCCTTCTGAAATTCGATTCTCGATTTCTACCGACGACAAGGCACGGAATCTTGCGAACCAACAAATACTCTCCCGTAGCGGCCACGATCGCTTCGCTGGGACTCGCATTCACCCTCATGACCGACGCCTGAAATACTCCCGACCGACCCGGAAGTCCAAGCTAGAAACTCTTGGCTCAGGAACTCTCGACAGTGCCGAGCCTCGACTCTTCCAACTAGCAGACGAGAAGCAATCCGGCTTTGGGAACAACACCATAGGCAGCTCCAAGCCCGACTGGAAGACACAGCAGTTGCGCAGCCTTCGACGACTAACAATTTCGACGACGACGACTTCCACTCTTTAAGTCAACCCATCTCGCCGACCTGATCTGACACCAATACGATTCAACTACCCGACGACCACTGGGAGAGTTCCGTCGAAGACTCTCTATCCGTTTCTTCTCCTCCCTTCTTCGACACTCTTAACATTAGCATCCACTTAACCACCGACGACTTTGAGATGGACGGCCACGGTTACCCCCCGGGCGAAGGCCCCCCGAACGGCGATGGAGAGTACGGCGAAGAGTGGGCTCGCGACCTAAGGGTAAAGTTCGAGTCACTTCTTCGTGACAAGCGTATGACCGAACTTCGAACTACCTCTCGCCAAGGCACTCCTCAACCCAGAGAGAGCGCAAGCAGTGCCAACCTCCGTGGTCTCGCATCACCCGGTCCCGGTCGACCTTCAACTTCACACAGCTCAACACCAATGCCGCCGACACCACCTGCTTACTCTCGCCACCTTCCCAAGATTCCCACACCACCCGCCGCCCACGACCGCGATTCACAAAAATTTCGCAACCTGATGATCAGTCTTTCTCTCACCCCGACAAAGTACGAAAACCCTGGTTTGTTGGACGAGGCTCTGCAGTGCATACCCCTCGACCGGATATACGGCGAGGCGGAAGAGGAGTGCCAAGTGATGCAGGCCGAGGCTGAGAGTATGGGAGATGGACGCAAAGCCACTTGGGGCTACCAAGATTGCGTTATCCGCGCACTACTGAGGTAAGCTGGATGTTTCCACTTGGATTCTTTGAACACAGTCTAATTGTCTATTCAGATGGTTCAAGCGATCATTCTTCACCTGGGTCAACAACCCCCCGTGCCCTGTATGCCTTTCGCCCACCATCGCCCAAGGCATGACGCCCCCGACGCCCGACGAGAGTGCATGCGGTGCACTTCGAGTCGAGCTCTACAAATGCTCAGCCGGAGACTGCGGCGCTTACGAAAGATTCCCTAGGTACGGCGATGTTTGGAGACTACTGCATACCCGCAGAGGACGTGTTGGAGAGTGGGCGAACTGCTTCAGCATGCTTTGCCGTGCCATGGGAGGCAGAGTTCGTTGGATCTGGAACGCAGAGGACCACGTCTGGACTGAGGTATACTCCGAGCACCAGAAGCGATGGGTCCACGTCGACGCCTGTGAGGAGGCATGGGACAACCCGCGCCTTTACACCGAGGGCTGGGGTAAGAAGATGTCCTACTGCATCGCTTTCTCTATCGATGGCGCCACCGATGTCACCCGCCGATACGTACGCAAGAGCGATTTCTGTGCAGAGCGCAACAGATGTCCCGAAGAGGTCCTGCTCTACATCCTGAACGAGATTAGAGGCCTGCGTCGCGGCAACATGAACAAGGATGAAAAGTTCAGACTCGAGAAGGAGGATAGCCGCGAGGACCGCGAGCTTCGGGGATATGTCATCAAGTCTATTGCCCAGGCTGTCACCGACCTCGTTCCTGGAATGCCCAGCCCTTCGGCGAGCAGCGCACCCCCTCCCCGTCAAGCAGCTCCTCAACGACGCGACGACACCAAGTTGCCTGCTGAGCAGCCCGGTCGCCAGACTGGATCCGCGGAGTACCTCGCGGCACAGGCCAACGCAAACGCAAGGCATCACCAGTTCCCCCCGCACGACCCGAGCCGCCGCCGCGACCTGCCTTGAAGCATGAGCGCAAGCTCTGCGACCACGATTTAACTCACACGATGGCATACCCGCCACACAACCTCCTGCCGACCCGAGGCCACTTCTTTTGCGGGCTGGCAATATCTGCTACTTTTTTCAAGATACCCAGTGGATGCCAGAACTCCCCACCTCCATGGCCCCGAGGTCGTCGCCGCTCACCCGCCATGATGAGCGGCTTTTTGCGCAAATGTGCAGCACCAATCAAGGCAATGATAATATTTTCTATGTCTAATCTACCTAAATCCGATACATTGAAAACAAAAAACAACGGCATCATAGACCGGCGCTCCGTCCCTATATATCAACTCGGTACCACTTTTCAGACGGCCGTACACATCTGATCGTCATCACACTCTGGATATCGCATCGATCTCATCGGGCAACGGGGCTCGAAATGTATCTACCACCACCTCATTTACTTCGCTTCGTTTCCTTTGTCGAAAAATATCGCGCGTGGGGCATCCGCTGGATGTCGACGGTAACAGGCGCAACCATGGAATAGGCAGGGCTTGCCTGGTCACTTTTATAAACAAATCTGCCTCGCACGACACGAGGCAGAAGGGAGAGGAAGCCGGCGATCGAGGTTCGAAGCCAAGGGACAGCAATGGCTCACCATCGCGCCGAGGTTCTTCTGGAAGGGGCGTTTCGGGGACTTCCACACGTGTACGCTGGGTTGTGTTGCATCTTCGAGTCTTTTTTGCATGAGCGATGAAAGGCACCAGATACGCTTTCCATCTGGCCGAAATGGAGTTGACGATTGAAGAAGTTTTTTTTTATTTACTTATTTTTCTCAAAGAGAACTTTTTGTTTCTCTTGTCCCTCTGAGGAGAGGACGTAGATGGAGACATCCGGACCGCGAGCTTGAGAAGCCATGTCCGCAGGATTTAGAAAGCAAATTTACCAAAGTTTGAAACGTTCAATACTGTCCCCAACAATATGCAATGTGAACGTGCACCTATCGATGTTCCCAAGTTATCCTAACATAGTCATCGAGCTCATACGAAGCGAATACAGCTTCAAAGAAGCAAGGGAATCGTACCACCATGGCCATGCCTTCATGATAGAATTGCCTCAATGTCGGTGAGGTCGATGCAAGTTGACGGTGCGGTGCATCTCAAAAGTGGAGTTTTGTTGGTAGTCCACTGTCCACCCCCCCATTATTTTATCCAAACTCGACTTTGATCTATGATCTATTCCCATCCGCGCGCCCGCCCCGTTTCATACCTTGGCTTTTAGTGTATCGATACCTAGAGCGCTGCTGTGGAATGGAAGTGGTTCCCGTTGAAGATGGCGGCATTGGCATTTGGCATTGGGCTTCTGCCGCGCCGGGCTGCGGTTTCTTGGCTGGGGGGTGGCGCTACAGCGGGTTCACCACCCGCCTAGGCTTCCATGGCTTCTAAGTGGGAAGTTTGGATCTTGGCCTGGATGTGTGACGCAGCCAGAGCCTGCGTGATTCAGCCCAGGTGAGGCGAGGTATGCATTCAAGGCTGGTTAGGCGAGACAAGGCAAGGCAAGGCAGGAGAGCACGTGTTGTGGACGAGGCTCTTTCTGCCTCTGAGAGCCGTGCCACCATATCGTAAGAGAGGAGGGGGGGGGGGGGGGGTTCTGCCAAGAATTGGGATTTCTTGACACGGGCGGTCGGCTTCTCTTACTCTTTCAATGGGCCAGGGATGTGAATTGGTTTTTCCAAGATTTTCCTGGTGCATGTGGTTATGGCAAGGATATATTTGACGGGAAGGCTAGGAGGGGGGTTTATTCTCGCTACAGTTAGTCGAACGGGCGGGGAAGGGGTTAGAGTCTCTGTATTTTAGAGGTGGCCAACGGGAAAAGGGACGACATGGGTTTAGTCTTCATGAAGTGAACGGAGATTGGCATCAGACGAGGGGGGGGACGACGTTCAATCAACGGAACGGGCGTTTGGTGAATGGCACAGCATCCATCATCGGCTGCCCGGGGAGGTAAGGCACGTAGTAGGCAAGTAAAGACGGATAGGCGGCAGGGCTGGAGGAACTGAGAGGGAAAAATCGACAGAGGTTGAAAGGGCTTGATGGGAAGCCGGCCGCCGGGTTGGCGTCTTGGCAATCCGGCAGTGCAACTGCACGGAGGTGGGGTTTCCTCCCGGTGCCTACGGATACTTGACCTTCTCCTGTTGGTTGAGTAGGGAGTACACTGGAGACGGGGATTTTCTTACTGTTCTTGGGGGGGTTTTGAATGCACTAGGGGAGGATGTGATGCAGACTGCAGTTGTGGATGGATTGCAGCAGTTGGAACTTGGAAGTAGAAGAAATAGTAGAGTCGGAAAATCGGGTTCGGCTCCCATGTCTTGTTTCTGAACTTTGGGAAGGTGTTGATGCATCTATCCGGATACCCGAGGTTTCCCTTTGCAACCTACTGCGCGGAGATGGAGGGGTGTGGTAGGTATCCCGCCGGAACAAGCGCCCGCGCACGCGCGCTTGTACGTGTGTGTACTCCGTACAGTATGGTATGATCAAATAGAAAGAGGTTCAGATTAGAGGGTATAGTGACGACGCAATTCCGCTCAACCACGTGATAACAAGACCGAGAGAGAAGTGGAAGAAGAAAGGGGGGAAACCTCGTGGTGGTGACCTTATTTGGACATAATGGTTCGGGTTCGAATGATTGAAATTCGAAAATTGCACGAGCTTGTCGGACTTTTTGAGTTGTCCGATGATTGGGACGGGTGAACCACACAGCTGGAGAGCAAAGGTTCGGACATGGACCGCTGGGTGGACCGTGAGGTTTCGATGATCAATGAAGCGGATACTGAGGGGAGAAAGAGAAACACTGAGATGTAATGGTGAGAGGCAAATCACAACAGAGGGAAAAGGGGAGAAGCCAGAGATCAAGAATTGGCTGCTGGCACTGGCAGCATGTACCCTTGCTCCGTCGTCGTCGGCGGGATGGGCACAGGGGTTTAGGTGGTGACGAAGACTTGGGTCGGAATGTGGGGGCGAGGGAGCTCGAGACCGAAAAAAAAAAACAAAATCTGGCGTAATTCCCGAGCGGCTAGTGATTTAAGGCTTGCGCGTTGCGTCTGGCGCTTTTTTGGTATCTTGTCTTAAACCCGTTTTGGCTATAGTGTCCCGTTCGTCCTAAAGTAGATAAGGCACAAAAGGGGAAGAAGGTAAGGTAGGTTCGCTGCAAGTTGCGTACTTGCGGAGTGCCGGTGCCGACGGAACGGGGAAGCCAATGATTTTTAAGATGAAAGGGGGCATCGTCTTTTGAGACGGGATGGTGTGGGTATGGACCGTAGGGTGGTTGCACTGTTGCAGTAGGCAGACGGTTGGTGTTGTATAGATATTAAAATAATGACTGTACAGGAGGTGATAGAGCCATGGTACGGGAGGTATGGGGCTAGTCCGACGGTGGTAATTGGGTGTTTTGATACGAGGTACGAGGAGCAAGCGAAGTGGTAGCTGAGCACCCTTCAGCCTTGGGCCCTTGAGCAGTGTGGATTGGGAAAGTCAGGTGACGAAAGAGGCAAGTAAGGTAAATTGCTTCCGAGGTGCTAGGTTTGGGGGTATCGGAGGCGGAGCTTTGCTTACGAATTGGGATCAAGCTTTATGGATTCAAGACTTGGAATGTAAACACCTGTGTTGTGGGTATGGCTATTGTTAGTATGGTCAAGGACGATTTCCGTGTTGTCGACCTGACGAGGCATCATTACTTTGTTACCAAGGTGTTATTCAAATTTTACATTTCGATGGAGTCATTGACCACTTTCACCTTAAAGCTAGTAGTTGACATATGACAGCTGGATTAAGAGTGAAAAGTTGACAAGGTTTGGATGCTATTACTATTGGAACTGAAAAGTGATGTTCATAATTGTTTATTTATTTTCCATTGGAGAGTGCAAATAATGAACTTTCGCATGCGGACATGATGAAGGAAATTGAAGCTTGGATATTCTTTACCTATGCTGGGATAGACTTAATCATCGCCTTTCTCGATTTAGATAAATGCCATTCAAACTCGTGTCGCAGATGTCTTTTTTACAAATGCCAGATGTCTATGTAAGATAATGAGAATGAGACATCAAATGATAATTAGCAAAGAGAAGTTGAAAGTAGGCATTGTGATTAGCAGGACAGTTGCGTCTTGAGATTCAATTGAAGTTCTGGTTCCTTTTCTCTTGAGTGAAATATCGTACTAATGGAATAGAGAAGAGGGACAAGGCACAAGACCTATTTGAGCTGATTCTGCATAAGCTTTTTGACAAGTGTACATATCGACTAGAAATATGATCTCTCAATGGAAATCCAGTGTATGGCTGCCCATGGAGACTAGATTTCTATCATGGAGATTGAATCTCAAGACCTTGCCTGTCCTGTGTAAATATAGCATAGTGAGTTTATTGACCGCTTTAGAACGTAACATAACATCAGCCAACCCATACGCTTGGGTTTTCCCGAGGTGTTCGGACCAAGAACTATGTCTCTATACAGGACGTGACGGCATCTTAAATCATCGTTCACGGTAACCTCGCGCTTGTTTGATATGCCGTCTCCGCTTACAAATTCTCTCCAGCCGCGGACTTTGAGCTGGCGGCCCGGGGAGATAGGGCGGCTGGACGGGTTGGACCAATAGCAGCCTTGGCATTTGGCATAGCCAAGCCCGCATCAGCCAATTGGTATCCAGTTTAAACACGGCAATTAAGAATTCTGCGCCTGGCATGTTACTGAATGATCATCAGTTCGCTATCATTAGGTATTCCACGACAGCGGGAAGCCTGTCGGGACAAAAAATAGTAGTCGTCGGGGTGCAGCCCGGGGTAAAGTGGGGCTCCCGGGCTCACATGGCGGGGATATTGGCCATCCCACATTTGCCGCTTGCGGGTGATACGAAACTTGATACCAATCCCTCGTGGTCATCGTCTCAAATGATGGAATAGAATAAAGGTTTAAATATTTCCTCTCCGCATCGTGGCAAAATAGATTTTCATCCCTCGTCTCGAGGTT